AGAATATTCTATATTGCGCGACTACAATGGGCAACAAAAGTAGTTGAGACACATTTAGGAAATGATGCTTTTTGATATTTAAGCACTTGTTCTATTTTATTTGCATCTAGCGTTAATTCTCTGATACCCCCGACCCCCCAATTCAATGTTGTGTAGACTCTGTGGTCTGTGCAGTCTAAGAAATAGAAAAATCAACATTGTTTGGGGGGGAGTGAGGAAGATGTGTCTAAGATGCTGAAAAATCGAACTTTACTGCCAAGTGTCTCGACACTTTTGTCGCTCAATGTGTGTATACCAGCACAAGACCGTGGAAGTGTAAGAGAGGTGTTTGTTTCTGCCCCGACCGGAGCTAGGAAAAGCTTGACTTGAGAGCTAGCTCAGCACCCTTTTCATTGTTCAAATGGAGAGAATAGCTGTCATCTTGCTGCAGCAGTGGTTTCGCTGATTTCGCTTGTGCCGAAAGATTAGATCTCAAACCTAAATTCCCGTGGCATTTCAGTGTCTTACGTAGGAGATTGTTCAGAACAACAGTTGAAGGACATTTTAGTTAAAAAAAGGTATCAATACGTTCCTTGAATATTCAAGTCAAGGACCCACAAAGGTAATCTGAGACACCCGTTGCAAGTCACGCCACTCCTCATTTCTTTGCACGAAACACAAATGAAAACTCTTCTAGCGAGGCAAGTCGGCTTAAAACCTTGCAGCTCACTTCGCTTGAATAGCTACCCTACCCTGAAACTAATGAGTCAGGGTCCGAAATTAACTTTTTTAGGCAGGTGCCAACTGGCGACTGAAATTTTTTTTCAGTCACCATATGGAAATATGTGGTCACCAAAAAGTGTCAATAAAATTTTTCCTTCGCAGCAAAACACAAACCAAAATTTTTGATCTCCAGATGGAAAGTTCTGGTCGCCAATTTTTCTTTTAAGAATCAGAACGAAGAGAACATGTTTGGGGCCGCGATGACAATTTTTCCGCTAACGATAAGATTAAATACAAACACGCTGATTATTTATACACATACCACTGAAAAACCACGACGCACGAATCAAATGCCAGCCATATCAGTTTCGTGCAACTGCCAAATGTTTCAAGTCAACATTATACCTCCTCTTGTCTCTACCTTTTGAAGAAGAAATGTACCCAACTGAAAACTGCTGTTTGGTTCTTTGCTCTATGTTCAAAACGATCTTTCCTTTTGTGTTCTGTCAAGACGATCGACGGATCACCATGTTGAATATCAAAATCTTCCACTAATTTCTTCGCGGATGTTCCGTCTCCACTTTGTAATAAATTACGGAAAGAGTTCAGAACATCTATGGACACCACATCGCCTGAATAAATATTCATAGCAAAAGAACGCATGTGGCCTCTTGCGCCCACAATACGTATGTTATGGGAAACCGCTGAAAAAACATGGTGGCAAAGCTTCGCACTGATCGTGGCTGGGAAACGTTGTGGTAGATTTATAATAACAGGAAAATCGGTTTTATACTTCAAAAGCAGCGGAAAGGTAAAAAGTAAGTGACCAATTGGCTGGTGGCTTTGAATTTTATTTTAGTTGATTTGACTGAAAATCAAAGTTTGTGTAATTATCGTGGCTTGAAATAGTTAATCGCCCGCTGGCGACCAGTTGTGAAATTCTGGTCGCCAGTGCAAAATTTTTAGTCGCATTGCGACCAGGAAAGAGCAATTTCGGACCCTGATGAGGTCGACTTGTGGCAAGTCTAGCACTTTGGCAATAATCCACTTGCCACCTGAACAAAACCACATGCCTTGGTAAGCGGGTTTGATGTTAAATAACTTGTAAGAAGTGTCTAGTAAAGGCAATCAATTCCTCAGATTAGGAAATTCAAAATCATTACAATCTGATTTTCATTGTCATGCATTCTAGCTCTCCTATTGCCGTTAACTGATCGTCATGTCAAGGCCTTTTAACTGATATGAGGGGGACATGAGGGGTTCTGAACACCACAACACTGCAAAAAAAATTAACGAACACTGCATCATCGCAAGAAAAGTCAACGAAACACTGTCACTGCAACACGTATTTTTAGCGCCATGATTCGAGTCTACATTTAAAATAATACTTTTATACCTCAACAATTTTCCACAAAATAAGCACATCGCAACGCTTTTCATTGCGCATATGTCGATACTGCTGATGCCTGTAAATCTGTTTTCTTGCTCTTGTGAAGAAACCTTGCGCGAAGCTAGGAAGCGGACGAAGAAAAAAGAGAGGTAGCCTGCGTAGCAAGCGTTTCTGTAGGGTTCGGGAGCAAAGAATTGCAGCACAAAAAATGGAGTGAGTAAACCATTTTCCGCACAGACAAAACACCGAAAATCCCGTTCCTCGGTGTTTCTTTGTTTCCAAACCCCACGGAAACGCTTGCTATGCATCCTAAAAGAGAGGAACCTCGAGAGATGGCCTTTAACCCAGATCCCTCTCTTGTTCTACTTCGCTCACTTTTCTTGGTGTATAAACCCACTGACTGAAGCGCTATCTGGCCTGAAAGTATTGCTTTCTGGAGCTAGCTGCGTTTGCGTTCGATATCGATAATCGTTTGAAAAAGTAGAAGGTCAAGAAAGTCGCAGGACCTTGGAGCAGGTAGAGATCGGTATCAGAATGACCTCTAGACGAAGCTGAATAGCAAAAGGAAAAAAATAGTAAAGGTGTGTAAATTACAAAGCTTCCTTAGGTTAGAAAGCCTTCTTTCTTCCCTGCTGACACGACATCTGAATATATTTTGTGGCTGGTAGTTTTCGCCGCCTTTTCCTTTTTTCATAGGAAAAAGCTGCACAGTCAATAATACATAATATTCGGCCTTGGCGTTTCCAGAATTTCCAGGATTGTTTCTGCCCTTGTTCCTCTACGTGTCTACCCAGACACCGAACACTGAGCTCTGGGTGGCAGAGGTCAAGTTACTTGTCAAGTTACGTATAAATGAAAACAGCTTCGGATTGACAGCCGAAGCATATTGAAGATTGACTAGAAAGTGATGGTCTGTATTTTGTTACAAATTATTAACCTCAGTGGTACGTGTTTGTCATAAATTAGCATGGATTAACAAAGTTTACATGCTACATTTAGGTCAAATTTAGGTTTGAGAAAGGTAAATCAAAACACCCCAGCACTGCAAACAATTTCATTTCACCGAACACCACAGCGTGAAAATACAAACATCGCACACTGTAGGGATTGAGATCACCGCAACACAGCAAGTTGAGATTTTATTCACCGCATCACCGCATTAAAAAAACATCAACACTGCGACACCGCAAATCCCCATGTCCCCCTCTGATATGACAAGTTCTTTAGTTCTCGTAACCTGTCTGTTTGGTTTTGTACAGGATTAGTGAAGTGAAGTTAGAAGCTAATCATTACTGGACATAAGCAATAGTTTATAATTCAGTGTACATGCTACTTGTCATCAGGACAATTCGACCTGGACACTATCCATGGACAAGGAAGTGATGAGCTGGGCCCAGCAGTGCCCAGAGGATTGGGATGGAAGAGATCAGTATGACGTGTTCCTTTGGGGAGGAGGCAGACATGGGCAAATTGCCCAGTGTGGTAAAGGAGTTAACATACCAACATTGGCAAAATCATTTGGGCGTGCACAGCAGATAATCTGCGGTCAGAACTGCACATTTGTGTTGTTAGCCAATGGAGCTGTTCAAGCATGTGGCGAAGGTAGTTATGGACGACTGGGTATGGGGAACTCTGATGATCTGTTTTCACTTACAGTTCTCTCCACCTTGCAAGGTTAGTACAGATCAGAGCATCTATTTTTCACATTTTACTTCCACTTACAAAAGCGTCAAGGGAGAGTATGTTTTTGAAGAAGATAGTGTCTCCATGTGCCATAAGGTGAATGAATAATTGCGTTAAAGGTGAATCTCTTCTATTGAATGTTTGGAAATTTTATAGAAAGTACAGTGCCGATCAGAAGAAACCTAACAGGTAACGCTTGACCGAACGCATTCTGTTTCTGTTCCACACGCGTTCCCGTTCCTGTTCTGTATCCGTTCCATATCCGTTCTGTATCCATTCCGTTTCCATTCTGTATCCGTTCTGTGCTGTTCTGTTCCCGTTCTGTTAGCGTTCCATCAGTAAGCGTTCTTGGAACTCGTTCAAAGGAACGAGGTTTCCGAGAACTCGTTTACAAGATTAGCGACACTCCTTTGCATTTCATAAATGGGTTAAAACTGTCACCTTTATGCGAGAATAGGGACAGTAAACTTAAATTTTCGTGGTGAAAATATGAGTCCAGTTACTCGAAAAATATGGGAAGATGATATTGTAACTTCAAGGCCAGTTTATAGTAAGTCTTTTTCTGAAATGATACAAAGCGACCGGCAATGTGTGATTGCCTGAGGAAAGGAAGAAGTAAAATAGCTTGCCAAGTACTTTTAACGCCATCGATGAAAAAATGCAAGCAAAAGACAAGCTTTTGGCTCTTGTATTTACACGAATACTTTTAGTGAGATTTAACATTGAAGTATCGGCGAAAACTGTTTGGCGAATGCTGCAGACACTTGGCTGGAGGACGCCAGCAGAGCAAAGTACTGACAAAAAGCCGAAGCGACCATTTTGTGATACTTTTACTGACGTTATTTTCACGGGCGAATTTTCAGTAAGGACTGAACATTATCCTCACCGATCCTTTCGCAAAGTTGGTGAACAACACCGTAATAAAGGTCAACCAAGATATCCATGTTTTGTTGTGTTTCTCTTCATGAGGAAACCTTTCAATCCCAGTCTAACTCGACTCATCCATCCATTTCCTTCTTTGGACATAAGTTGAGCTTGTTGACAATAACAAAATGGCCGCAATGAACACGAAATGGACAAGAAGATGCATGGAAGATGCTTCCTTAGTGCGTGTAAAAAGAAATAAAAAAAGACATCAGATGATTCGTTCTGTCATTTTCTCAAGATCGCTGGGCTGGACAAAAATTGAACGAACGTGTATTTAAAGTTACATCGTTTCCAAATCCTTGGTAAGCGCTCTGATAGTGTAACTTACTACCATGTGTTCTGAAGAATGCGTTCTCTTATAGTTTGCGTTCTGGAGAACGCTCTTTTCCATTTTTGTGATTCGTAACCGTTCCGTATCCGTTCGATTTCCGTTTGGTATCCATTCTGTATCCGTTCTGTACCCATTCTGTACCTGTTCCGTTCGCGTTCTCATACCCATTCTGTATCCGTTCCATTCCCGTTCGCAAACGTTAGGTTTCTTCTGATCGGTACTGTATGCAAGACATAAATAATCATGGTCATTTGCGTTACACCATGTCAGGCTATGTAGTTACCCAGTTGGCCACTTCCTGTGGTTCTGATGGCCACTCGCTGGCTCTGACTGAGAGTGGTGAAGTGTTCAGTTGGGGAGATGGGGATTATGGAAAATTGGGACATGGTAACAGTGACAGACAGAGAAGGCCCAGACAAATAGAGGCTCTCAGGGGCGAGGAAGTGTCATTTGTGAGTAGACAATAGTCATTTATACCACCATCTGATCAGTTTGTTGTGAGTAGGTACACTTAATCAATTGTAGAAAGAACTGCTCAGAGCTCCAATCTACTGTTTTCTGTGGGTATGCTGCTAAGTTAAAGCTACTTTTTACATTAAATGGATCGTACAGAACAGTCATTCATCGCTGTAAAGTTCTGAAATTTGAAGCATATGTGAGCAACCCATTTCAGTGCTACGATGTCAAGTTTAATTTTTGAACCATCCATGTATGGCAAATGTGGGGCGAAATTTATGGCGGCACCTTGGCCACCAAGCGGAACCCCATACTCATATGGGAAAGAAAAGGAAACCCATGAGTTGATTTTCTTATGGTTATCATGGCTAGCGGTATTGCTCATGGGCACATACGCATGACGGCAACAATGACGACGGAGTTGCGCAACGTGGCGGCTATACTCCAAATAATAGGTTGACAGAAACATGCAGCTTTGGTTTACCGTGTATTTCTTTGATATTGGACCTCCATGTTATGATCAATTGACACCTGTCAAAACAAGGTATCAGCTGACCAGTATAACTTGACCATATTGCGGGCTCAAGTTTACATCTCGTCGAGGTCACGTGTTGGAAGTTGACCGCTGACCAAGTGCTGGTTTTCAATTGCATTGCGGGCTCATGTCAGCTTAACTTGTTGAAAATGGGGCAGGATTGTTTGGAAGCCACTCAACGGTAATCCAGGATTAAAAGTTAACCGAATTATAACTTTTTCTTCTATACAAATGTTTTTTGTGTATATGGTGATTATTAAAACTCAAAACAGAAGGCCAAACAATATACAGAAAACCTCACTGCAAAGTTACATGAAATCAAAATTCTACCTTTTCCTGGGTTAGCTTAATCGGGCTCTGAACAACCTGGCCCAGGAGGTACGCTTTTAGGCTGCCCTAAATCTATGTATTACTGTGTTATAATGCTGCCTCTCTCGTAAGCAAAACTATGAGATGATCGCTTTATTCTCTTGAAATCTTTCACAAACAGCATAAACGTGAATCCTCAGCGCAATTTCCATACAGCCCCACAGTTTATTATGCATACAGCAGGTTGTTCAAAGAAATCAATGGCCTGACTTTCACTCTAGCCTGTACTAATACTGTGAATAGTCTGACTTTCATACTTCGTTAAACTAGATATTCTAAGTCCAGTTGGACCTGAAATCATTTTGGGATTTCCAGGTCCAAACTACAGAAAATCATTAAAAAGTAAAGGGAAAGTAGTGTGTTTTAGACCTTTATTGGAGGCGTTTTCTATCATTTGGGAAATTCAGTTATTCATCATTGGAGAAATTCATTTTACCTAATGATAAGAAATGATTTACTCAGGTTTCCCACAATTATTTTAGCCAGAGGTCAGTAAAATAACTTTTGTCACTGGAATAACTGTTTAGCCATGAATGTATGCACTGTGGACCTATTTTGACTTACGCTTTGTTTAAGAAACAAGAAACATTTAAAGAATAAGTACTACCGTAGGAACACAAACTGTTGTTGAGTGTTTGCACCACTATTTTGAGTTCTTCTAACCTTTTGTGAGTGTTTGTTTGACTTGATAGAAACACGAAGGAGAACACTTTATATTCTGTTGGAAAACACTGCAAGAAAATCACAGATTTATTTTGATTATCAAAACGTAAATTTGCTTCGTTTGCTTCATCATTACATCGAAGACTCGTAGAAGCTGCGTGCTTCGTTTGTGTATATATAGGAGTAGGGATTTTGAATACTGCATACTCTCTTACTGAATGATTTCTAGAGGAACGTAACGCTCCTAAGAAATTTTGTGCGTCCTACAAAAACGTGAATCCTAAGAAATTTCTGTAGCAGTTATTTTCAAAACGGGTGTGTTCTCAGGAGTCCTACCTCTGTACTTTTCCACTGAGCTGATTCTGTTATCTGTTTCATTTCAGCTGGCTTGTGGCTTTAAGCACTCTGCTGTAGTTACTTCAGATGGTAAATTGTTTACCTTTGGTAATGGAGACTACGGACGCTTGGGACATGGAAACACAGCAAATAAGAAATTACCTGAGAGAGTCATGGCACTTGACAAGAAAGAAGTGGGACAGGTACTTTGGAGATATAATTCACAGTAATTCTTTTGACTATTAAATGTTTGCCGAGATCTTGGCAACTTTCTCGGCGAGTTTTTTTTGTGTTTAAGATTTGAATCCTTGCTGCAACAGAACTGTTATTAAATCAAATGAAATTAAATCTTTATTCACAAAGTTTTGATTACAGAGGGAAAGAAAGTAATACCAAAAACAATTGAAAACAAATGTAGGTTATAAGACTAAGATATACACGAGATACAACACTTTCAGTTGTGTATACGTAACAATAGTTTATGAATTAAGAAATACACAAGTTTATTACGAGAACTACCTTTATTCTCAGCCGTTTCTTGAACAAGAAGTTAACATTAATCTGTTACCAAACTGACTAGCAAACTATAAGCTAGCAAACAGAGGGAAATTCATTTTCACAGATTTACGGCCCTGTGAAGCCAAAAGTCTTAAAGTGACAACTTCACATCATTGGATGGCCATCAATGAAAACTTTTATGTTCAGGTTTTGCACTTTGCTTAAATTGTTCTGTGTATGCAGTTTCAGTGGAACGTGGTTCATCAATTGAAGGGGTGAGTGCAAAACCATGCTAAGTGACGATTTGGGTGAAAACAAAAATTTTCGC